AAATGACATCATTTAAAAATCATAAACACATTGCTTTTGTGGTTTAAAACTACCGGTGGGTTATGTCACATACGAGGAAGTAGAACATAAGAGGTGTAGGCTTAGAAGCCAGAATGTCTGGGTTTGAATGCTCATATCCAACTCGTTGAACAGCTTTCTTAGCCCTAGTATTCTCAAATTTAGCAAAGGAGAAAAAGAACAGCTATAACATAAAATAATTAAAGCATGAAGCTGAATCCGTGACATGAATTGTTCAGAACTACTCAGTCTTCATCAATCATCAGGTATTTATACAAAAACTACCTATAGTGTTCCACATACCAAACTAGTCTACAGGGTTACAGGCATAGAGAAAAGATAGATAAAGGAAATGCCACCTACCTACCAAAAGATCACAGTTTTGGGTTCAACATCCCACTACAGACTATATCATTGTTCGAACATTTCATTGAGCTATTTTTGGAAATAGTAATTTAAAATCTCCATTGAAATTTGTTCTTCAGTCTAAGAATGAGAACCTTTATTCTCTCTACTTCTCTCTTCCAATGACTTCACTACCATCTGGTTGATGCAGGTGATCTTTGATGATGGGTGTTTCCTGTCATTCCCAAGAACTTTATACATTCAGTAACGATATTTTTTGTAGCCTTCTCTCATGTGTGAATACCGGTCATTCCGAAGTCAAATGTCTACTCTGTTGCTCAAGTTGTGTCCCCCTAGACTTACATATTATATAATAATTACATAATATTATATCATATGTTAATTAATACACAGCATATTTTAGTGAATATTTTTTCCCAGTTGATTTTTAAAAATTTGGCTGTTAATGTCTCCTTTACATATTGTGGAGATAAATTAGCTATATGAAGTCTCATTTATTATTCTGGAGATAAATTGGCTGTAGAACGTCTCACTTATATATTCTGGAGACAAATGCTTGTGATTAGAATTTTCAGTATTGTACCAAATAAAGAAAAGATTTGTTTTAGGAATATCAGGTACTTACTACCTTTTAAACCACAAAAAGCCATGCCTTTCAGCTTCTGGAGCATGAAAGGGTCCAAGTACTTCTATTCTGCCCATGATGACATTGTCTGAAAGGATTCTAAATTAGAGAGTTCAGAGTCAACATTAGCATTGGTTGAATAGATGAAAAATATTGGTAGAAGGAACAGAATGTCCTTTTGAGGATAACCACAGTACATTAAAAACAGAGAGATGAGCAGTTGTGATAGCTTCTGATATACAACAGAAAAAGAAAATTTCTAGGTAAATAAATGGGAAGAAAATGAGAACAGCAAGGCCCTTATATTTAACACAATGAAGTGAGGCACGGAAATGATCAATCCAGCAGATGCTTTAATATCACAAGAGCCCATAAGAGGGGCTGAGACTGGGGACACGGCAAATGATTTACCTTTTATGCAAGACAGACACTGGCCTCCTGACCGCTTTGGTTTTCAACATGTTCAGTGTTTATTATTTAAAAAATGGGAAGTATCCAGATCATAAAAATTCCTATGGCAGCAAACAATCACTGTTAAGAGGGAGAAGTCAGATTAAACAAACACAATACTATAGTTCTAGATAAGGCTGTGCCCCACAAAGATGCTCCTGTGTTGAACGTAATGATGCTTATGATATCCGAACATTAAAGAAACAAAAATCATATTAAAGAATTTGAAACAATCTTTTCATTAGTTTTGAATGGAAGGTGGGAAAGGTGCCAACATTTTTCTTAATAGTAACAAATTCATGCAATATCATATAACTTATAACATGGTTTTAAATATATTAATTTGTTGTTTTTTTCATTGTCCCTACCCCTCATTCTTCAAGACAAGGTAAAACAAAGCTTAGGGTAAGAGATATAAAACATACAACCAGTTTGTAAGAAAGAATAATAAGAACACAAACAACCCAATTCAAAAGTGGGCCAGAGATCCAAATGGCCACCTCCTGGAAGACACCGTATAGATGGCAATTGGGCATATGCAAGAGTAGTGCATACCATCTGCCACTAGAGAGTCTCTGATTAAAACCAAAGTGACACAACACCCATTGCAATGACCAAGATCCAAATCACTGACAACCACAAATGCTCTTGAGAGAAGGACGCGTCAGTGTTTTTGTTGATTGCTGGCAGGAATGCAAACTGGTACACAGCGTCTCCCTATGTTAAACATATACTTCTTCAGTCCAGTTACCTTATTCCTTGCTATTTAGCCAAATGAAATAAAACGTCATGATCACACAAAACACATGTTCATATAGCTTTATTTGTAATTGTAACTAGATGCATACAATACTGTACATTGCAAGAAGTGATGCATTATTTAGGCTAAAACAGAAACAAGTCTTCAAGACTGAGCAATGATAGAAAGCTGTTATGTGTTTCTGTCAAAATTTATAATGTTCACTAATGCACAGAATTATGTGTGGTGGTGTGTCAATGTAGATCAACTGATGGTAATAAACACCTCACCATGGTGGGGCCTATTGATAGTTGAGGAGGCCATGCATGGGTGACAATGATCAGGATGCAGGAAAAGCCTGTTCCCTCTTTTTACTTTTGCTGGAAACCACAAATTGCTCTAAAATAGCAATTATTTCCATTTAAAAAGGAATGATTCATAACCACAGGATACAATGTGTGATTCTATTGATGGATACACAAGACAATCAGTGGTGATGCAACTAGGATTTGATTTCTGCTGAGAGAACAGACTGGAAGAGGCTATGAGTCGCTCTTCTGGGGATATCAGTGACTTTCTATTTCTTGATTTGATTGCTAACAAGCACCTTGTGAATATTGATAGAGGCTTACGCTTTTCGTGTCAGTTTTCTGTCTGTAATATATCTCAACATCTTAATATAAAGCCGGCACAAGTTAAGAAAAAGAAAAAAAAATCCAACTATATCTTTAAATGTAATTTCCTGGGAATCATTTGTTTTCTTGAGGTTGGTGGAGAAGCAAGTTATCTCTCTTAAAATTTCTTTCTAATAATTTATAAGAAATTAATAAAACATGGGTGGTTCAGTTAGAATTTAGGCAAGAAAAGAAAAATTAAGAATTTAAAACAGAATTTAATCTAAGGAAATGGTTACACAAAGAATGGAAGAATTGAGAAACTAAGCTGGTGTCTTAGTTATTTTTCTATTGCTGTGGGAGACGCCACGAGAAAGGCAACTTATAAAACAATATTTAATATAGGGGCTCATGATTCTAAAGGGTTAGTTTATTTATGATCATCATGGTGGGGGGCATGGCAGCAGGCAAGAGGGGACATTGCTGGAGCATCAGCTGAGAGCTCACTGTTGAGACAACAACCAAGAGGCCTACAGAGCAACTTGGATGGTGTGAATTTTTGAACCCTCCAGGTCTGCCTCAAGTGACAGTGATACACCTCCTCCAATAAGGCCATACTTCCTAACCCTTCCCAACTAGATCTATCAACTAGGGGCCAAACATTCAAACAGAAGAGCTTGTGGGAGCCATTCTCATTCAAACCACCACAGCTGGGGATTGGGAAGCAACCTTCAGGTATTTAAGTAGTAGTAAGAAGTCACAGGCCCTTAAGGACAAAGGAAGAAGTGGTCTCACTGGATGGCTGGGTTAAAAGTCACTTGAGTAAGCTGAAGGCAATGACTGGAATACAATATAGCCCAACTGAGCTCAGTTCCCAAGGTAGCTAGAGATGGGCAAAACCAGTAATGGACTTGAAGATAAAGATGGGCACAGACAGACACAACTGCAGAACAAAGAGCTTAGGAACACATTTCTCATTTTTATTTCTAGAGTCAAATGATTTACTAAGCTTTTTGAAATGTACTCAGTTTATCTCTTGGGTATTACAGCAAACAAATCTCTTGAAAATAAAGAAAATCATTCCTTTAGTTCTACATTCAATCTCAGTAAAGAAAATTTATACACACTTGAGATTATGAGAGCATCTCTTGTTTTCATTTTGAAGTTAATCAAAGTAATAAAGGGTATCTTGGTGTTCTGAAAGTAGTCATTTTTACCATTCACATGATTTTGATCTTTTATTTCATTTACTTAAAGTGGATGATGAGTCTAAATCTGAATTTTAATTAAAGTTGTTTTCAAACATGCAATAGTGTCACTTTGACTCACATTGTATTTTCACTGATTTAAACTGAATAAACAGTTTTCACTTGCATAATTTTTAATGCAGAAAGGGAGCAATGGCACCTGTAGGATTAGTCTTGTACGATGATGGTGTACTGCCAGTTGCATTGTTTAGTTAAGAAATGAACATGGCCCTATTCTGATATTCTTGGCCTGGCCATTCTTTAAAGTCAACAATAAAACAGCACTACTTTGAAAGGTACTCTTAGGATGAAGTGGGAGTTCTCAACGTGACCACCATTCAACTTCTTAATTTTTTCTCTGTTCTTCTAAAGAGTAACAATGGCACATTTCAGGAAAATTCTATATAACTAATTTGCAATCCTACCCTTTTGCACACATGCACACATTTATGTTTCATTATACATCACATTGTAAGATTTAATGTACCTGACCTTTATTGTTTCTTGCTTCTAATTTAGACAACCCTTCCATAGGAAGCTTTGGAAATTACCTACTGACATGCTAATAAGCCAACATCATCATCAACCTTCTTTTTGGCTTATGCCATTAAAACATTATCTGCTACCTCATTCAGACTTAATATTCTGATATTACATATATTCCTATATTTAAAGATATTAGGTAAATTTTAGAATGAAGCATTGTGAAATTTTCCCCAGTATAAACTGCCTCTCACATAACTTTGATTCAGATAGTTTCTGTTAATAGAAGGAAAGCAAAAGTGAAGAAATAAATTCTTTAATGGGGAAGTCATTGAAAGTACAAAACGGAATGAAAAACATTGATGCTATTTAACCCCGTTTTTTTATGCAAAGAAGAAAAGCACATTTTGAGAGATTAAATTAATGTTCATCTTGAAATTTTTGTCTTAAGCACTTACCTAAAATTCAATGAAGAAACAGCATGGACTTCCCAGAACCATCTATTTTGTTTTCTTTAAAATAGCAGTTGATTGTGGCATTTGAAGATTTCTCAAGAGCTCCCAGGGGCTTGTAAATCCTATTTATCTGTAATTAAAAAAAAAAAAAAAAACACACCTGCACTGAGCCATTTATACTAACATGTTTATTACAGAAACAGAGGCCTGAGTTGGAAGTTCTAGAATGTATGGCCTCCTCCAAACCCTCCGACACCATTAACAACTTGGAATACCCTACTCAGAAACTCAGCTTCCTTTAAGCAAGACAAATGGACTTTTATTCTAGAAGTTCTTTGACAGTTGAGGATGGCCAGGCCTGGAGGCATGAAGTCACCATGCAGGATGAAACAGCTGGTTAGCAACCACCAAATGTTCTTAATATAGCCCTTTATTTTCAGTTGATTAAGAATGAGAAATGAGAGAACATGGATTCTTCTGTTTTTCTGAATAGGCAATTTTCTAGAATATTGCACCATCATAATTTCTACTAAAGTCAAGGAAATTACTGCGGAGGTCAGATGCCTCAGAACAACATGTTCTCTGAGAGCGTAAACTTGAGCAGTTTTAAATAGAAATCCCACAGGAGCTGACGATAGCAAAGGCAGCCTAAAGTAATTTAATAATCTATATGGTGATTGTGATATGGAATAATCACATATAAATAGTAAATAGTTCACATCTCTTAAAAGCAGATGCTTTTCAAAGACTTTGCTTGCCGAAAGAATTTACAGAATTACTAGAATTAAGAGAGAGGGGCACCTGGTGTCCACCCTGAGAGTGACTAAGGTAGGTTACACCCATGTCCATCAATAATATCTCTTTCCCAGGTTTCTTCTGCACGTTATTGCCTGTATCACTCTCTGCCCCCTGCCTGTGGCTGGCATTGTTATTCCAGGTGCCGGATGATTGGGAGCAGCAGAAACCCGAAGCTCTGAAATCCATGTATCGAGAAAAAGTGAGGGAGTGAGGAGAAGCACAGAGGGTGTTCAATTGAGAGTAGAGATGGAAAGGGGAGGCAAGAAATGACCCAAGAGGATGCTGGTTGCTCTTTGCCCCCAGCTCCAACCCTGCTCTTCCCTCTTCAACTTTCTTTAGTCAGGGCTGTCTAAAATAACCACTATAGTGATTTAAGCTCTCAAGCCTGGCTTCAGATGTCTTTTGATTTTGGATGCACATTGAAAACTGTCCAACCATAACCCTTCTTCCCTCTAATTTGAACTCAGGTTCACTTATTATTTCTTGAGATTTATTAGTAGAAGATAATTCCTCACAGTGCAATTAATCCTTGTGTCCATTAGAGTCGTCCACCATCCCCACTCCGTTACATTGTAGCTACACACCATCTGGCATTATTTGAATTAAACAAGTTATTGCGGTTGAATGACTTTGCTACTTTTTGTTTTCTTAAAGTGCATGCCATAACTACTTTTTTGAAAATTGGTATTCTGATAAGCTAATAATTTCTGCGTATTTGGAAATACTAAAGTATCATCACCAATCTCTTTAATATTGCTCCAGACCACAGGATGGGGAAATAAATGGGTACTTATAACACATTCTTGTATTTTCTATGTAACCACATATTTCATAAATGCACACATGTAAGAAACTTTCCACATAACTTTAGCTGACAACATAGGATTGCTAGTGACTTCTTTCCCTCTCAGTCTGAGACTGATTACCCTGCGTGTTTGTTTGTTTTCTACTTGGGTCCTTGATCACCTCTGACTGCAGCATTCACATGGAGTCACTGTGTTGAAGTATCTCACAGGTGGCTTAACCTTGATAAGATTCATGGCTTTAATAAAAATTCTACCATGGATGGAATATTGATTGTAAGATGGCTTTAGTGTCTTCTCTTCTTCCCCCACCGAGAAGTAGCCCTGCTTCAGCTTGCATCTCAGGGACAGTGATTAAATGCCAGTGTCTAATACATCTCTACTATTACTGACTTCTGTTCCCTGTGGCACACCCAGTGTGTGCAGAACTCTTAAACCTGAGAGTGGCTGCCTCCCAAATTGCTGTGAATTAAAGTCATCAATCCTATTCTCCGGTACGCTGCAGCCTACGGGACATTGAAAAGCAACATCCCTACATGGATGGTAGGTGGAAAGAGAAAATAGTAACTTTCTCTCTTTTTATTTTTATTTAAATTATAGGTCAGCTAACTTAAATTCTAGGTTGCCCAACTCAGAATTTCTGGTGTGAGTAAAGTTAAAATTTAGTGTTAGGACATCAAATAAAAATACTATCTCTTGGGCTGGAGAGATAGTTCCCAAGTTGACAGCATTTACTGGTCATGCAGAGGTCCTGAGTTTAGTTCCTGGCATCCATATTGGGCATCTCATGATCACCTGTAACTCAAGTTCCAGGAGAACCTGTACTGTCTTTTGACCTTCACAGGCACCTGCACAATGTGGTGTATATCCATGCACTTAGGCACACATACGCATATGCATGAAATAAAATAAATACTATCTCTTTTACTTAGCTCCCTGAGAAATTTTTATCCAGGGTTTAGGTTGGAATTAGAAGCCAGTGTCTTACCACAGCCTGCCACAAGAGAAACATGCATTTTGTTGACTTTTTATGCCCTATCTTAGGCACATGGTATTGAAGAAAGCTGAAGGAGGTAACTTTTTTCTTACTAAGGGAATTGCCTCAAATTTGAGCATGTGTAATTTGAATGGGCCATTTAAAAGAAAGCAAAGAGATATGATATTAATCCAATCAGGAATTTCATTATCCTTTGCAGCAGTGAATTTGGGAAGTGAAATGAGTTCATTACACAAAATTGGAACAAGTGGTCCCCTCCTACCTTAGTAGGACATAGACAAACATGGGATGGAGCCATGCTACTGATGACCATGCCCTAGTGAGCCGTCTACCTAAAATCATAGTCTTTATCCCTGAATGTTTTCCTGTGTAGCATGTCCTTTGACTGATGCACTATTTATCCCCTGTCTCTTCACAGTAAAGATAAGATCAACAAGGCAGGAAAGTTGTTCAATGCAATATCTCTGATGCACACAACAATTGCTCATATACAGAAGCTTGTAGAAACAGTTGCCACACGAACAAACAAAATAGTGAGTGGTGATATAGTTAAAGTTATCAAGTTTAACTCCAAGGAGAGACTATTTTTTATCATAAAGATATTCAGGTCCAATATAGAGTTATAAATGATAATCTTTATACATATTCATCTTAGATATAAATCAAACCAGAGGAAAACATATTATTAAATAACACAGGTGTTGTAAAGGAGAAAGTCCTCTACTATTTTAATTTTAAACATTTCCTTCTTCTTCTTTTTTTTTTTTGGAAATACTGTGTTAATCTTCTGTTCATTATCCCTATAGCTTTCACCAATAATTTCATCACAATCTGATGACGTCACAATGGAAAATAATGAGGAACCCAAATTGGTATTTATCTACTGTCCTTGTAATGCCAGGATGGGTGGCCTAAGGGCTGAAGATTGTGGGGCATGTTCTACAGGCTCTCCCTTCTGTAAGTTATGCTTAGGAGACTGGAATCCATAAGGTCAACTTTGAGGAGTACTGATGTGAAGATGGGAAACATGAGCAGATCTTAGGCTTAGAGATGACAATAACTACAGTGCCACAGGGCACTCAGGTGAAATGCAGACATGGGTGTCCACACTGCATTCCTACACATATTCCACCTGGTGACTTCTGGTGCTGTAGAAGTTATTAAGGAAGATTGGCTAGGGATGGTTATAGACACTGGAGAAGCAGCAGCTACTTATCTGAATAATTTTCAAATGACTGAATAGGCATTACTTTTTAAAAGTGACCTTAGGCTGCTGTATTTTACAGATTGCATGGTATGTCCGCCGACAAAAGCTGAACTTGGGAGTCTTGTTAATGCTATTCTGCAAGGAAACCATCAGGAAAGATAATTTCAGCAATGAAGATAGAAGAAGGAAAACCCAGGTCTGGAAGGTTCTCAAGTCCTCTTCTTGTGTCCAGACTCAGAGGACAGGGTTTTGTTTCAGCCTTTACCACTTTGAACTTGGCTTCAGTTTTCTTAATTAGAGTGTCATCCTAATCTGATGCTTTTCAACCCAGGGTCATGGTTTTTTTTTTCCCCCCACAGGGATGCTTCATCCTATCTAGTGTTATCTGGTGGCATTTTTCATTTGTGGAACTAAGGGGTACATATGGCACATAACAGGTATGGACTAGAGTTCTACTGGGCATCTCCAATGCACAGCAAAACCCTCTTGGTGCAGTGCAAAGTTACAAAAATGGCTAGGCTGAGAAACTCTGGTCTAGACGATTCAAGTTCTGTGGCCACATTTTGTAACATCACCACAGGTCCTACTCAGGTCTGTGAATTTGCACTAGGTAAGCCTGATTCCCTATCATCTAAAATTTCCTCAAAATCCACATTCTACACTAAAGTCCTTCCTGTAGCTCCAAGCTCTCTCCATACACCGTCTTCATGCTCCAGTAATGCTGTTCCTCACACCTCCTTGAGTTCCTGAACCTGCTAATATTGTTATTAGGACACATTGCCTTAGATTGACTTCCTTCCTTCTTTCCTTCCTTCCATCCATCCTTCCTTTCTCCCTCTCTCCGTTCATCCCTCCCTCTCTCCCTCCCTGTCTCCCTCCCTCCCTTCCTTCCTCCCTCCTTCTATTTCCTTCCCCACCCTCTCTCTCTGTCTCAAACAGGGTCTCACAATGTTGCCCTGCCTGGAGCTCTCTATATTGACCAGGTTGACCTCAAACGTACAGAGATACGTGCACATCTACTCCCCTATGGTTAGGATTAAAACTGCGCACTTCCACTGTTTCCTTTCTTAATTGAAAACAGATTCTTCACACATACAATACAATACCACCAGAGTTTTCCCTCCTTGCACTCCTCCTGGCTCCCTCTACTTCCCCTCTCACCCAGACCCACTCCCACTCCCTTCCCTCTTCAGAAAAGGGCAGGTCTCCAGGAGATGACAGCGAGACAGGACAAAGCGAAACCCTCCTATGGAAGCTGGACAAGGCAACCCAACAGGAGGAAAAGAGTCTCCGGAGCAGGCAAACGAGTCAGAGACACACCCACT